ATACAACATTAAAAGATACACTAAATTCTGAAGGTTGCTATACTGCAAAATTGTTTGTTTGTTTGTTTGTTTGTTTAGAAACGGAGTCTCGCTCTGTCACCCAGACTGGAGTGCAGTGGCGCGATCTCCGTTCACTGCAACCTCCGCCTCCTGGGTTCAAGCAATTCTCCTGCCTCAGCCTCCCGAGTAGCTGGGACTACAGGCACGTGCCACCACACCCGGCTAATTTTTTGTACTTTTAGTAGAGACGGAGTTTCACCGTGTTACCCAGGATGGTCTTGATTTCCTGACCTCATGATCCGCCCGCCTCGGCCTCCCAAAGTGCTGGGATTACAGGCATGAGCCACTGTGCCCGGCCAAAAATAGTTTAAAATTAAACAATACAGTGTTCATTTATGCTTGAAATTCCAGTCCTCAACCAAGCTTGTGACCACCAGCATTGACATTTTTGCCATCCAGGAGAGCTGACAGTGTCAGTTTGATACCTGGCTTTAGGGTCTGAGTGTATCCTAAACCTCTCAGGCTGGAGTTGTTCACTTTAGCTGAGAAGCAGGCATCGGGGTCGATCTGATACTTGGCTGCTATTCCGAAGCTGGTGTTACTGTTTCCTGCTGTCCAGGTGAGATTGACAGTAGTCTCCAACTTGTTCACCTTCTGGTAAATGGAGCTGCCAAACTGTCCTATCATTCACTTTAGTGTGAAACTGGAATTCATCCGTCTTGTAGCCAACTGCACTGTTGCTCTGGGTCACTCGGGACTTTGCATTCTCAAAATTCATCTGGTAGCTGGCCAGCCAGCCCTCGTAACCCAGCACCAGAGCACTCTGGATTGAGGGCCCAGCAATGTCAAAATCCATGTCTCAGCCCAGGTTAATGTGCTCCTGCTTGTACCCTGTCTTGATTTTAGCATTTTTTTCCCCCAGTGTTAGGTGAGAAGGATGAATTGAAAGTCACCTTCAGTTCATGTGAAAGCTGATCTTCCACAGTAACCTCAGTGCCTGGTGTGTTGTCAGTGTTCTATTTCTCTGTAAATGTCAGGCCATATTCAGTCCATCTGTACTTGGTTTCCAGACGGCCTGTCACTTTGGTGGTCTCACTGTTGGCTGAGCCTGAGCTTGTAAATTCCAATCCATTCTTCTCTTTTGTTTTCAAATCAAGTTCTATTAAGCCAAATCCATAGCCCTTGGTGAAGACATCCCTGGCAGATTTTCCAAGATCTTATACATGGGTGGCCCAGCCATCTTTTCAGAGGTGGCGGCAGCAGGCTCAGAGGCAGCTGTGGCAGGGGCTGTGGCGTGGAGGCAGATTTCCCTCTTGCTCTTTTTGTGATCAGGAGTTCTCACGAGATCTGATAGTTTAAAAGTGTGTAGCACTTCCCTCTCTTGCTTGCTCTTTCTCCTGCCACAATGTGAAGATTTACTTGCTTCTCCTTCATCCTTCCACCATGATTGTAAGTTTCCTGAGGCCTCCCTTCCATGCTTCATGTACAGCCTGTGAAACTGTGAGTCAATTAAACCTCTTTTTTTCATGGATTACCCAGTATCAGGTAGTTCTTTATAGCGGGGTCCCCTGAAACAATCAGGAAGAAAAGAACATGGTAAGGAAGACGTATAGGGTAAATGTAGTAGGCATCGCTATTCTACATGAATTTTCTAAACTTGTTGATGGCGGAAGCAAAGATTATCATATGATCTGATGTGGATTTGAATGTATATAGAGGAAATACTTAGGAAAATTATGTTTTTAAACAGAAAGAGTAAGGGGATGTAATGGGAGGTAAGTTCTGTACAATTATTCAAACTGGTAAAATGGGCCAGGTGTGGTGGCTTATCCTCTAATGCCAGCACTTTGTGAGGCTGAGGCAGGAGGATTGCTCAAGCTCAGGAGTTTGAAACCAGCCTGGGCAACATAGTAACACCCCGTCTCTAAGAAAAAAAAAAAAAATTAGCCAGGTGTGGTGATGCACACCTGGTCCCAGCAACTTGGGAGGCTGAGGTGGGAGGATTGCTGTAGACTGGGAGATTGAGGCTATAGTGAGCCATGATCATGCTGCTGCTCTCCAGCCTAGGTGTCAGAGTGAGACCCTGCCTCAAAAAAACAACAAATAGCAAACTGGTAAAATGATGACACCAGTAAATTATGATAAGCTATATGTATGTAATGTAGCACCTAGAGCAACCACTTAAAAAGCTATACAATGGCTAGGCATGGTGGCTCACACCTGTAATCCCAGCACTTTGGGAGGCCAAGGCAGGGGGATCACCTGAGGTCAGGAGTTCAAGACCAGCCTGGCCAACATGACGAAACCCCATCTCTACTAAAAATACAAAAATTAGCCGGGTGTGGTGGCGGGGGCCTGTAATCCCGGCTACTCAGGACGCTAAGGCATAAGAATTGCGTGAACTCGGGAGGAGGAGGATGCAGTGAGCCAAGATCGTGCCATTGCACTCCAGCCTGAGCAACAGAATGATACTATCTCCAAAAAAAAAGAAAAAAAGCAAAAAGCTATACAATGAAATACACTAAGAAACACCGTAGGCAAATCAAATCAAGACAGAACTATAAAAACGTTTGAGTAACCCATGAGAAAGTTGTAAAGAAAACAAAGAGGCAAAAAGCCCAGAGAACAAACAAATAAAACTTAAATGGCAGACATTCCAACCAATAAGAACAGAATACATATTCTTTTCATGTGCCTTTGGAAACATAGACAAAGATAGACATATCCTGGGCCATAAACCAACATAAAGCAAAAATTTCTTTTGTTAAAACATTTTTTTCTAATTTAAATCATGTAATATCGGTCATATCAATAGGCTAAAGAAGAAAATTCATTATTTTATCAGTTAATGCAATAGGAGTTTGGCAGAATTCAACAACCATTTGTAAACAAAACTGTCAGTACAATAGGAACAGAGGAGAATCTTCTAAAAATCTACAGCTAACATTCTTTTTAGAATTTTGGTAATACGTAACACAAAATTGACTGTTTTATAACCTTTTACAATTCAGTGACGTTAAGTACATTCACATTGTTGTGCAGCCATCAGCACTTTCCAGAATGTTTTCATTATCCCACATAGAAATTGTATATCCATTAAACAATAACTCCTCATTCCCACTCCCCCCGGTCCCTGGTAACCTCTGTTTTACTTTGTCTGTATGAATTTGCCTATTTTAGGTACCTCACATAAGTGGAATCATACAATATTTGTCCTTTTGTGACTGGCTTATGTCACTTGGCATATTTTCAAGGCTTATCTCATAAAAGTATCCATCAGAATGTCCCTCCTTTTTAAGGCTGAAAAATGCTCCATTGTATGTATATACCACAGTTTCTTTGTTCATTCATTTTCATTCATTCACATTTTCTTTATTCATTCAGTTGGTAAACATTCAGGTTGTTTCCAGCTGTTGTGAACAGTACTGCTATGAACATCGGTGTACAAGTATCTGAGTCCCTGCTTTCAGTTTTTGGGGGTATATTCCTAGGAATGGAATTGTTGGATCAGATGGTAATTATATGTTTAATTTTTTGAGGAACTGCCAAACTGTTTTTCATAGAAACTGTATCGTTTTACATTCCCATTGGCAATGTGCAAGTTTCCAATTTCTCCACACCCCACAAAAATATGTTTTTCTTTTTTCTGGTAGTAGTTATCCTGTTTGTGGAACAGCATTTATTTTGTATTTAATTTATTTTTAATTAAAACTTTTGTTAAACATCTACTCTGATTCTGGTCTATGGAACAGTATTCTTTTTTTTTTTTTTTTTTTTTTTTTTGAGATGGAGTTTTGCTCTGTTGCCCAGGCTGGAGTGTAGTGGTGTAATCTCGGCTCACTGCAACCTCTGCCTCCCAGGTTCAAGCAATTCTCTGCCTCAGCCTCCCAAGTAGCTGGGACTACAGGTGCTCACCACCACACCCAGCTAAGTTTTGTATTTTTAATAGAGATGGTGTTTCACCATCTTGGCCAGGCCGGTCTTGAACTCCTGACCTCATGATCCACCCGCCTTGGCCTCTCAAAGTGCTGGGATTACAGATGTGAGCCACTGCATCTGGCCAGAACAGTATTCTTAATGGTGAAAGATTAAATGCTTTCCTTCCACAATTGGGAACAAACCAAGGTTGTATCTGTTCTTACCACTCTCATTCAGCATAGCCCTGGAAGTTCTAACCACATTAGCAAAGAAATGAAACTGTTCCTATTTTCAGAGGACATGATTGTCTATGTAGAAAATCTCAAGGAATGAAAGGAAAAAAAGCTTTTAAAGCTAAGTAAGTTTAGTCCAGTTGCCATGTAGAAGATAAAACAGACAAACAGTTGTATCATATGTCATAGCGTGAACATACGGTCACTGAAGTTAAAATACAATACCATTAAAATTACTAAAAAAAAGAAGAAAGCTGAAGAAATTCTTAGGTGTAAATCTAACAAAACGTGTAGGGTCTGTTTGCAGAAAATCACAAAATGTTGATGAAATAAATCATAGACTGTCTAAACAAATGGAGAGACATACTGGGTTTATGAATTTGAAGATCCAACATAGTAGAGATGTAAGTTCTCACCAAACTGATATACAGGTTTAATGGGAATCCTATCAAAATTTCAGCAAGGGCTTTTGGAGATATAGACAAGATTATTGTAAAATTTGCATAGAAAGGCACAGGCACAGGCTGTTTTAAAATAGCTAAATCAACTTCTAACATGAAGAACAAAGTGAGAGGAATTGGTTTATCTGATTTCAAGTCCTGCTGTGTAGCCGCGATAATCAAACTTGTGTGTTCGATCAGTACAACAGAGAGCCCAGGAAGAGAACCAGCATCAGTGTATGGAGGGGATTAATAGTCTTGAACATATGGAACCAGGTTTCAGGTTAAAAGCAGGATCTATAAATCTCACTTGGGTGCTCTAGGACTGCTTTCTTTTTGCCTTGACTATGGTTAGTGGCTTAAGTTGGTTAGTGGGCATGGCTGGCTGTTAACAATGTTTGTGTTACAGGCATTGATGGCCTTCCGGGATGTGGCTGTGGCCTTCACCCAGAAGGAGTGGAAGCTATTGAGTTCTGCTCAGAGGACCCTGTACAGGGAGGTGATGCTGGAGAACTACAGCCATCTGGTCTCCCTGGGTAAGACTGGCCTGTTTAAGGTTTCAGATTCTGCTTGTGGGCATTTTAATCTCTTACATAGCAGCTGCCATGCTTCTGACTCAGAAAGAAAAACAGTTTTTTCCCCTGTTCCCCCAGAGAATGCCTGACTTTAGTAGAGCAGTTTTATGTGTGTGTGTGTGTGTGCTGTGAGCATGCGTCTGACACTGCATTTCAGGCCTATTTACCTTGGCTGGGCTCCTCCTCTAAGATTATCTTCCTTCAAAAGGAGGAATATTCTTATTGACTCAAGCACAGGGTAGAATCAACATATTGCTTTTAGGTCTAGGATCCCCTCCCTGTATTCATCCTGTCTCAGCATTCATTGTTTACTCCTCCCCCGCACCTCCCTATCACCTTCTGGGTTTATTGCGTTCCTGGGTTGGCTCTGAGTTCTGAGATAGCCTCTTAAACCACTAACTCAAGATCACCTTGTTTTTTTTTTTTTTTTTTTTCTGTGAGTAGGAATTGCATTTTCCAAACCAAAACTCATCGAACAGCTGGAGCAAGGGAACGAACCTTGGAGAGAGGAGAACGAACATCTTCTGGACCTTTGTCCAGGTGAGTGGGGAACCCTGGGCAGGTGAGGGTACAGGGCAGTGAGGAGCTCAGCAGGTAAGGAAGGAGGGGCTGTTTTTGAAGTGCTAGGAGGAAGTTCTTCTTCTTCAGGCCTCCTAGGCCGCTGGTAAAGGCTGCATGGCACTGCCTGCCTTCCACACTGTGTGCCTCCCCCCAGGAGAGGGCACCCCTGGCATTTCATCTCCTTCCTCCATCAGGGAGCCTCACTCCTCCCTTGGCTTCCTGTCTCGAGCACATTCAGGATTTCTCCATTCTTGGGCTCATGTGGTTGGTGTGATCTTCAAAACAGTACCTGTCCTTTGAGACTAAGTCCTCTGCCCCTGTTTTTTTGTTTTTTTGTTTTTTTGTTTTTTTTGAGACAGAGTCTTGCTCTGTCACCCAGGCTGGAGTGCAATGGCAGGATCTCAGCTCACTGCAACCTCCACCTCCTGGGTTCAAGCGATTCTTCTGCCCCAGCTTCCCGAGTAGCTGGGACTACAGGTGCCCACCATCATGCCCAGCTAAATTTTTTTGTATTTTTAGTAGAGATGGGGTTTTACCATATTGGTCAGGCTGGTCTCGAACTCCTGAGCTCAGGCAATCCATCTGCTTTGGCCTCCCAAAGTGTTGGGATTACAGGCGTGAGCCACCGCGCCCAGCCAGTTTCTATTCTTAACCTGGTAGGTTTTTTGTGCATCATTTCTATCCTGTAAATTCTCATAACTGTTTCTTTTATCATAGATTATTTAAGATCACAGCAAGGTGTGAAAAACTGTACAATGAGTAGGGTTGGGGCAGCCGTGTAGCCTAAGAGATAGCATGTTATAAAGCCAGGTAATAGCCCCATACTTTTCCTGATTGTGTCCTGTTCCTCCGCCTGTTTTCTGAGTTAGCATTCCATGACTGCCTTTATCCTTTTATTCCATCCAATGGGTTCTTCATTCGTATAGGGTGTTGTTTTGCATGTCTGTAAACTTCTCTGCACATAATATTATTAAGTTGTTTCCAACCTTTTGACTATGAAATAATCTTGCTCTGTATTCATGTATGCCTCCTTGGGAACACGTGCAAGAGTTTCTCTTAAGATATATACCAGCTGGGTTCGGTGGCTCACGCCTGTAATCCCAGCACTTTGGGAGGCTGAGGCAGGTGGATCACAAGGTCAGGAGTTTGAGACCAGCCTGGCCAACATGGTGAAACCCCATCTCTACTAAAAATAGAAAAGTTAGCCGGGCATGGTGGTGCATGCCTGTAATCCCAGCTACTCAGGAGGCTGAGGCAGGAGAATTTCTTGAATCTGGGAGGCGGACGTTGCAGTGAGCTGAGATTGCGCCATTGCACTTCAGCCTGGTTGACAGAGCGAAACTCCATCTCAGAAAGAAAGAAAGAAAGAAAAAAGATATATACCTAGGTGTGTAGTAGCTAGTTCATAGACATGCATAGCCTCAACTTACATAAGTTATGCCAACTTGTGTTCTGAAGTAGGCATGGCAGCTTATGCTCCCAGCAGGAGTCTATGAGAATTCTTGTTGCACATCCTCACCAATATTTGGGATTGTCAGACCTCATGTTTTATCCATCTATTCAGCTGGAAGTGAAATCTCAGACGGGTTTTTAAGTTGCTTACTAGTGAGCATGAGCATCTTTTCGTATGTTGCTTGGCCCTTCCTGGTTCCCCATCTGTGATTTGACCATTCAAGGTATTTGCCTACTTTTCAGTGGGTTTATTCTTTTTGTTATTGATTTGTAGAAATCCCAAATTATGGAAACATTTAGGTCTTTAATCTAACTAGAATTAATTTTATATGAATGCTGGGAGATAGAAATTAATTTTTGCCTGCTTTATCTTCTTGTTTATTTTCATGGTTTCCTGGCATTTTATTTTTGTTTTGTTTTTTGCTTTTAAATATAACTATATAGCTGGTGTTACACTATGTAGCAACTGAGTGCTTTTATCTTTCTGAAAAAATTTCATTATATGAAAATGGGCTGGGCACAGTGGCTCACGCCTGTAATCCCAGACTTTGGGAGGCTGAGGTGGGTTGAGGTGGCCTCACCTGAGGCCAGGAGTTTGAGACTAGCCTGGCCAACATGGCGAAATCCTGTCTCTACTAAAAACACGAAAATTAGCCGAGCCTGGTGGCGCATGCCTGTAATACCAGCTACTCAGATGGCTGAGGAGTGAGAATCCCTTGAACCTGGGAGGCGAAGGTTGCAATGAACTGAGATCACACCACTGTACTCCAGCCTAAGCTACAGAGTGAGACTCTGTCTCAAAAAAAAAAGTAAAATAATGATAAAAATGTTATTAAGATACAGTAATTAAGGTATAAGATGTGTTTTTAAGGTATAATAAACTACACTTATTTAGGTGTAAAATTTGGTTAGTTTTGGTATATGTATACATGCATGAAACCACTGCCACAACTAAGGTAACAAGCATGTCTGTCATCCTTGAAAGTTTTCTTTTGCCTCACTGTAATCCTACCTCCCACTCCTTCCTGTCCTCCCCTGTACCTGGGCAACCACTGATCAGCTTTCTATAATTATAGATTTGTCTGCATTTTCTAGAATTTGTGTAACTGGATTATACAACTGGTTTCTTCACTCAGCATAATTATTTTGAATTTTATCTATGATGTGTGTATCAATAGTTTATTAATTTTTATTGCTGAGTATTCCTTTATATGGCTAGGTCACATTTTAATACTGACCTATGGAAAGATATTTGGGTTTTCATTTTTGACAAATATAAATAAAGCTGTTTTAAGCTTGCAAGTTTTCGTGTGAATATAATGCTTTCATTTCTGTTGAATAAATACCTGGGACTGGAATGGCTGGGTTGTATGATGATGGATACAATCTATATTTAACTTTTGAAGAAACTCACAAACTGCTTTCCAAAGTGGCTGCTCCTTTTCGCATTCCCACGGCAGTGCAGTGTATCAGAGCTCCAGGTGTTCCGCGTCTGTCGAAACTTGGCTTGGTTATTGTATTAATTTCAGACGTTCTTATAGCTGTGTAGTGAGTGGCATCTTACTGTGGTTTTGACATTTTCTTAATGACTGATGACGTTGAGTATCTTCATGCACTTATTTGCCATCTTATATCTTCTTTAGAGAAGTGTGTTTTCACATCTTTTGCCCATTTAAAAATGTGGTTTCTTATTTTTGTATTATTGAGTTTGAGAGTTCTTCAGATATTCTATATAGAAGTCCATTATCAGATATATGATTTACAAACATTTTTTCTGTGGTTTACTTTTTATAATCTTACTAGTGCCTTTCAAAGAGAAATTTTTAACTGGGATGAAATCCAGTTTTCAATTTTTTCTCTTATGAATTACAGTTTTGGTAGTATATTTAAGAAATTTTAGTCTAAACTAAGGTCAAAAAGGTTCTCATTTTTTTCTTTTAGTAATTTTATAATTTTTAATTACATTTAGGTCTATACACCTATTTTGAGTAAATATAAAAATGTACATAAATTCAGACCTCCCCTTTTTTAGGGCAGGAAGGGCATACAAATATCCAATTTTTCCAGCACCATTTATTGAAAAGACTACCCTTTCTTTACTGAATTTCCTATGTACTTTTGTGGAAAATCAGTTGACCATATATGATAGGTCTATACCTGGACTTTATATTTTTTTCTACTCCTCTGTTAGTGTCTCGATTACTGTAGGTTTATTAGGTCTTGAACTCACTGTAAATCCTCCATCTTCTTTGGGAAGCCGAGGCAGGCGGATCACAAGCTCAGGAGTTCAAGACTAGTCTGGCCAGCATAGTGAAACCCCTTCTCTACTAAAAATACAAAAAAAATTAGTTGAGTGTGGTGGTGTGCACCTCTAATCGCAGCTACTCGGGAGGCTGAGGCAGGAGAATCGTGTGAACTCGGGTGGCGGAGGTTGCAGTGAGCCGAGATCGCACTATTGCACTCCAGCTCAGGCAAAGTGCAACGAGACTCCATCTCAAAATAAAATAAAATATCCTCCATCTTTGCTTTTTTTTTTGCAAGTTCTTTTTGTTATTCTTTTTTTTTCATATGAATTTTAGAATCAGCTTGTCAGTTTTTATCAAAAATGCCTGCTGAGATTTGGATTGGGATCGAGTTGAATCTGTATCAATTTGTGGAGAACTTACATGTAAATAATACTGTGTCTTACCGTACGTGAACACAGTGTGGCTCTCCATTTACATGAGACTTCTTTCATTTTTGTCGGCATTGTTTTGTCATTTCTAGTATACAGGCCTTACATATCTCTTGTCAGATTTGCCCCTAAGTATTGTATTTTTTTATGCTATTTTTAAGTGTCAATTTTCAGTTGTTTATTGATGGTACATAGAAATAAAATGGATTTATGTGTAGTGATTTTTGCATGCTGTAATCTTGCAAAACTCACATCTTTTTCCACTGGAATATTTTAATACAAAGGACCTTCTCTGTATTCCAGATGGACTGTGAATGGCAATCCCTAAAGCTGCTTAAGTTCGCTCTTGCAGATATGATCTTACTGACTCTAATCAACGATACAAGGAGTTTTTCTTAGGAATAGTATGGTCAAAAATAAGAAATACATATTTTGTGATTAAAAATAGTTAACAAATGGAATAACATATAAATCAGTATTCTATTTATAATCGTCTGCCTTGAACCGAGGGTCTTCTGTTAAATAGTTTAATTCCATTAAATTCTTCACTTCTGTTCTGATAGGGCACTCAAAACCCTGATTCAGTTTCTTGCTATGGGTTGCTACTTGCAGGGTACATTTCTGATCAATGCTCTTAAAAATTTGTTCCAGGGGCTGGGTGCGGTGGCTAACGCCTGTAATCCCAGCACTTTGGGAGGCCAAGGTGGGCGGATCACTTGAGGTCAGGAGTTTGAGACCAGCCTGGCCAACATCGTGAGACCCTATTACGACTAAAAATACAAAAAATTAGCCAGGCGTGGTAGGTGCGCCTGTAATCCCAGCTTCTCGGGAGACTGTGGTGGGAGAATTGCTTGAACCCAGGAGGTGGAGGTTGCAGTGAGCTGAGATAGCGCCACTACACTCCAGCCTGGGTGACAGAGTGAGACTCTGTCTCAAAAAAAAAAAAAAAAAAAAGAACTTAGTCCATAATTACCTAGGAGTTATGGTATCAACTTATGGAAGCTGAAAGCACTGCCAATTTCCAGAGCGTTTAATTTATACCATCATGGGAATTAGTATTATCTCCAATTGGCAGCCTATTTAAACCTAGAAACAAAATTTTTTGAAAAAGTCAATTTATATAGTTTTAACAGTTTTGGATAAGAATATGCTTAAGCCAAAATATGTATAATCCCTGAAACATCTTTATGCTAATAAGTCATCTATTACTAACCTTCAAACGCTGAATTTCTCCGTAATTCGCCAGATTTTTAAAAAATCCTGGATTGTTGAGCAAAACAGTGTACGCAGTGTTGTGCAATGCTATTCGGAGAATATACTTGGCCGCAGTCTGCCCAGAGGCTAGAGGATAGCACCCTCGTTTGCCAGGAGGGCAGCATCAGGGATTCCTCTTCTTCAAGAGGACTTAAGAGTGTCCATGCAGCAGTTCAGGAGACAACTCACATCAGGCTGCTATGGAAGCTCCCTGGCCTAAAGCCTGTTCCACATAGGAACCAGTATCTCTTGCTGCAGCTTATCTGATTCGTGGGTGCCCCTTACTTGAGTCGCCACAGTCAAGGAAGCCCAAAATATGGCTCCCGTTCAGATGTTTAGATCTTATTTATAGCATCTTCAGGATCTTAATCAGTCTGTTACTTACCGCAGCTCAGACACCAAGTTCTTGGCTCTTGCATAAACAGCAGGCCAAACAAATGTTTCTCAGGCAAGGTTTCATAGGCGTGAGCTGGAGCAAAAGCAAGAGAGCAGCGCTCAAGAAAGGAAAATCAATGTGTAACTCTACTTGCAGCAGTTTATAGAGCTGAAGCTGCCTGTGATGCTTTTTTGAACTTTCTGGTTTGGCTGATAGGACTAATTTGTAGTGTGGGTTTTCTGTGCTGCAATAGAGCATGTAATGTGCCCTTGTGGGTTGGAAGATAGGTCTTTGTTGTGAACATCTGAAGAAAACTGCTGGGCAGGTATTGCAATCCACAGGCACCTGTGGTGATTCTGACCGAGACTTTCTCTCTAGCAGAGCCTAGGACAGAATTCCAGCCCAGTCTTCCCCACCTGGTGGCCTTTTCTAGCTCGCAGCTCCTCAGACCATATGCACTAAGTGGTCATCCCACACAGATCTTCCCAAGCTCATCTGCAGGAAGTGACTTCCAACTAGAAGCTCCAAGATGCTCTAGTGAAAAAGGAGAAAGTGGAGAGACAGAAGGCCCCGACACCTCATTAAGAAAGAGGCCAAGCAGAATTTCTAGGACATTCTTCAGCCCACATCAAGGTGACCTAGTAGAATGGTTGGAAGGGAACACACAAGGAGGAATAGACCTTCGCCTGGCCCAGAGGATGAGTCCTGGGGGGTCAGACACAATGTTGAAGGGAGTAGACACCTCAGAATCTGGAGCAGTCATACGTGGAAACTATAGACTGGGACTTAGCAAAAAGTCAAGCCTGTTCAGCCACCAGAAGCATCATGTGTGCCCTGAATGTGGGAGAGGCTTTTGCCAGGGATCAGACCTTATCAAGCACCAGAGGACACACACCAGGGAGAAGCCATACCTGTGTCCAAAGTGTGGGCGTCGGTTTAGCCGGAAGGCCTCCCTCTCCATACACCAGAGGAAGCACTCGGGGGAGAAGCCGTATGTGTGCAGGGAATGTGGGCGACACTTCACGTATACATCCTCCCTCACTAATCACAGGAGGATTCACTCCGGGGAGAGGCCCTTTGTATGTCAGGAGTGTGGGCGAGACTTTCGCCAGAAGGCAGCCCTCATTGTACACCAGAGGACACACACAGGGGAGAAGCCTTACCTGTGCCCCCAGTGTGGGCGGGGTTTCAGCCAGAAGGTCACCCTCATTGGACACCAGAGGACACACACAGGGGAGAAGCCCTACCTGTGCCCTGATTGTGAGCGTGGCTTTGGTCAGAAGGTCGCCCTCATCAGACACCAGAGGACACACACCGAGGAGAAGCCTTATCTGTGCCCCGAGTGTGGGCGCGCCTTTGGCTTTAAGTGGCTCCTCACCCGACACCAGAGGACACACTCAGAGGAGGAGCTTTATGTTGACAGGGTGTGTGGGCAAGGACTTGGCCAGAAGTCACACCTTATCTCTGACCGAAGGACACACTCGGGAGAAAAGCCCTGTGTTTGCGATGAATGTGGGCGCGGCTTCGGCTTTAAGTCTGCCCTCATCCGGCATCAGCGGACCCATTCTGGGGAGAAGCCGTATGTCTGCAGGGAGTGTGGACGTGGCTTTAGCCAGAAGTCTCACTTGAATAGACATAGGAGGACCAAGTCTGGTCATCAGCTCCTACCCCAAGAGATCTTCTGACCTTTCCTTTCCTCGTGAGTGTGAAGCTGGCAGAAATCACCAGTAAATGCTTCAGTTTCCTGAAATGGGATGGAAAAAGAAAATGTTGCTTTCTTTCATTGATCATGAGATAGTTGAATTTTGGTTGACCTTCTATATTCACAATTTGTCTTGGCTTGCTAGGGATTCCATGACAAGGTGCCCCGGGTGGGGTGACTTTAACAACAGAACTCTGTTTTCACATTTATGGAGGCAGGAACTCCCAGATGAAGGTATTGGTAGGTTTGGCTGCTGCTAAAGCCTCTCTGCTTGGCTTGCGGATGGCTGCTTTCTGGCCACATCCTCACGAGGCCTTTTTTCTGTGTGTATGCTTTTCTGGTGTGGCTTCCTCCTCTTGTAGGGATACCAGTCATTCTGGATAGAGCCACAGCCATATGGCCTCATTGAACCTTCATAACCTTCTTAAAGGCGCTATCTCCAGACACAGTCACACTACAGGGTTGGGACTTCAACATGAATTTTTGGGAAACCCAATTTAGTCTATAACACTCCACTACCAAAGTTCAGGTCCTTCAAACATACAAAATACATTCACAGGATCCCAACAGTCCCAAAATTCTTTACCCATTTCAACTTCAACTCTAGATCCAAAATCTCATTTAAATATCATCTAAACCAAGCGTGAATGAGACTTTAGGTACAATTCATCCTTAGGCAAAATTCTCCAGCTGTGATCCTGTGAAACCAGACAGATTATCTGCTTCCAAAATATTATACAATGGTGGGACAAGCAGAGGCTGAACTTCCCCATTCCAAAGGAGAGACATGAGAAAGAAATGAAGAATGATGGATCCTCAGCAAGTCTCAAACCTGGCAAGGCAACTTCCATTAGATTTTAAGTCTTGAGAAGAATCCCCTTTGGCTCAGTGCTCTGCCCTGTGGGCCAGCTGGATTTTGGTACTGTGATAGGGATGCTTTGTAACCTAAAATGTGGAAGTGGCTCGGAACTGGGTTCTTGGTAGAAAGAAGCTACAAGAGTTTTGAGGCACATGTTAGGAAAAGCCTGGATGACCTTTAAAACACTGCAGCCCTAGTTTTTGGGCTCACGGGAGCTGCAGTGTCGCTTCCTTGGCCCTGGGCAGTGGCTCCTGGCCCACTGAAATTGAGAAGGAGACACACTTGCCCTCTAGCCCTGTACTCTCTGGACCCATTAGAACCTTTGAGAATCACATTCTTCCCTTTTCTTGTACCTTCCTGTAGAATCCCAGAAGTCCAACAGCCTGCCTTCATTTGTCCTGTGTCTTTCTCTATTCAGTTCAAGCTGGCAGCATTTCTGGTGAGATGGTTAACTGGTTCCATTCAGACCTATACCAATCTCTTTATCACATGGTTGTCCAGCCACACCCTAGTGTTCTTTCGAGAACATACTTTCTCATTTTTTGTAATGCGGACAGGCTGAGAATTTTCCAAATCTTTAAGTACTGGTTCTTTTTTGCTTAACAGTTCCTTCAATTTATCTTTCTCCTCTCACATTTTACTATAAGCAGCAAGGAGAAGACAGGCTCCACTTGCATCACTTTGTGTAGAAATATCACCTGAATATTCTGCACTGCCTCACTCACAATTTCTATACTCCACAAAACACTAGAATGCAATTTGGGCAAGTCCTTTGCAAGGATTCCAGTTTCCCGTTACCCATTCCTCATTTCTGTCTGAGACCTCACCACAATCACCTTAAAGAAAAAAAAAAAAACAAATTTTGTAGATACGGGTTTTTGCTATGTTGCTTAGGCTGGTCTCATACACCTGGCCTCAAATGATCCTCCTGCTTTGCCCTCTCAAAGTGTGAGCCACCACACCCAGCCCAGAACCTTTAACATCTACATTCCTACCAACAGTGTTTTAAAGGTCATCCAGGCTTTTCCTAACATGTGCCTCAAAACTCTTGTAGCTTCTTTCTACCAAGAACCCAGTTCCAAGCCACTTCCACATTTTAGGTTACAAAGCATCCCTATCACAGTACCAAAATCTGTATTAATTTGCTAGGGCTAACGTAAGAAAACAACAGACTCGGTGCCTTAAACAATAGAACCTTTAGCTTCTCACAGGTCAGGAAACTGGAAGTCCTAGAATGGGGTGTTGACAGGTTTGGTTTCTACTAAGGCCTCTCTCCTTGGCCTGCAGATGGCTGCCTTCCCTCTGTGGTGTCACATAGCTTATTCTTTGTACACACACTTTCCTGATGTCTCTCGTTAAAAGGACACCAGTGATAGTGGATTAGGGCAACACCCTAAAGACCTCATTTTAACCTTAATTACAACTTTAAATGTCCTGTATGCAAAAACAGTTACATTGGGGATTAGGGCTCCAACATATGAATTGCGGTGGGGAGGGACACAATTTAGTCCATAACACTCTGACTTCTGGACTTCCAAAATTCGTGTCTAGCCATGAGCACCTGCCACAGAGTGCTCTCCTGACCATTGCTTTCCTTTCTCCATAAGTGTGAAGATGGCAGAAACCAATGATAGATGTTCCACTTTCCTGATATGGAATGGAGAAAAAAGAGTTGCTTTCCTTCATTGATCATGAGATAGTTGGTTTATGCTTTACTTTCTGCACAGCTGTCCTTTGTATTTTATGGTCTTTTGTTTTAATAAACTGCTTCTCTACAAAGCTGCATACCTGGCTATGTACCTCATTCACTGATACTTTTAGGAGAGCCCCAAGGCATTCAACCTCTTTGGAGACATGGAGGAATTACTCTGCGTATTTATTCTAGACTACTGTCCTATGGGACGGGGATATTATGGTATTCAACCTCACCTCTTCCTAAGTCTTCCAGTGTCTGTGATGAGAGATGCTGGCCACAAGCTCAACTTCCCTGACTCCAGATTGAAGGGCATTTATTCACATCCCTGTCATGTTAGCTATGCCTGCGTGCCAGTGATCCAGCCCGTCAGCCACAACTTTCCTTAAAACTCCAGTCAGAAGCTAAGACTCTGAAGCCACCCACCCTTCTATCCAGCCCAAGACACTGCCCCTTTAGCTATAGTCCCTCCTGTTCCTTGATCCCCAATGAACAGATCCCCAATCTAGCCCAAATGCCCTAGATCCCCAATCTAGCCCAAATGCCTGCATCAAGACTGGCCCTGGCCCTGTTCCTTCAGCACCAAGTGTTTACTGCGTGGTCAGTCTCCTCAGTGCTTGGAGCCACTGCTGGCTCAGAGGGGTTTTTCACCAGAATGAAAAGAAAGAGATTTTAGTTTGGGAGAATTCGCCTTGGGAGGATAGATGAAAGAAGAATGACAGATGGGGGTCACTGACCCAGCATCTCAGCTGGAGATGCTCTTTGGGTTAGCTTAGCTTTGGTGGGGATGCCTTGAGACCACTGGGGACAGCCCTTATCAATACATTTTCACTGAAGCCATTTTGCCTCAGTGAGTTATCCAGTGGCCAGAGCTGAAGTCACAAGGGAAGCAGGGTGTGTGTGTGTGTGTGAGTGTGTGTGTATGCACGTGTATGTGTGGTGTGGGGTCATTTCATGCCAGCAGTTTAAAAATTTCTACCGAGAATATAAATAGAAAGAATAACCATTCCAGCATGTATATTGACCTTTTACTTGAAAGTGTTTTTCCATAATGGAAGTTTCTATGGCCATTCACCCAAAATGGACCTGATAAATGATATATAAATAAAAAACAGGCCCGGCGCAGTGGCGCACTCCTGTAATCCCCACACTTTGGGAGGCCAAGGTGAGTGGATCCCTTGAGGTCAGGAGTTCGTGACCAGCCTGACAAACATGGCAAAACCCCATCTCTACTAAAAATACAAAAATTAGCCGGGCATGGTGGTGGGTACCTGTAATCCCAACTACTCAGGAGGCTGAGGCAGGAGAATCACTTGAACCCGGGAGGCGGAGGTTGCAGTGAGCCAAGATCGTGCCATTGCACTCCAGCCTGGGTGACAAGAGCAAGACACTGTCTTAAAAAAAAAAAAAAAAAGTGTGTGTGTCTATATATATTTATATATCTTACATATATATAAATGGAACTGTTTTTTAAAATATCTCTGCTAGATACATCTGAAACCTCTCTTTTAGATAAAAATGGTGATGAAAGAAGGGGAAAAGAATGATTTGATTGGGTTAATAGAAAACCACACCTGAAATGAATATCAGTGTTTTATAGAAATAAGAAATCTATGCCTGGCCGGGCACGGTGGCTTACGCCTGTAATCCCAGCACTTTGGGAGGCCGAGGCGGGCAGATCACGAGGTCAGGAGATCGAGACCATCCTGGCTAACACAGTGAAACCCCATCTCTACTAAAAAATACAGAAAATTAGCCAGGTGTGGGTGGCGGGCGCCTGTACTCAGGAGGCTGAGGCAGGAGAATGGCGTGAACCCGGGAGGCGGAGCTTGCAGTGAGCAGAGATCGTGCCCCTGCACTCCAGCCTGGGTGACAGAGCAATACTCCGTGTCAAAAAAAAAATTAAAAATAAAAATAGATTCAGCTATAGTCCTTTTGAAAAGAAAAAACATACCACAAAAACATCTTCTTTAGGGTTACTCCGTTTGAACTCTGGAATATAATAGAGCTGGCTGTTAATACGTAAAAGCAGCACAAAATGAAATGTAAAATTAGTGACTCCAGGCCGGGTGCGGTGGCTCACGCCTCTAATCCCAGCACTTTGGGAGTCCAAAGCAGGCGGGTCACCTGAGGTCGGGAGTTCAAGACCAACCTGACCAACATGGAGAAACCCCATCTCTACTAAAAATACATGGTGGTGGGCACCTGTAATCCCAGCTACTCGGGAGGCTGAGGCAGGAGAATCACTTGAACCCAGGAGGTGGAGGTTGCTGTGAGCCGAGATTGCACCATAGCACTCTAGCCTGGGCAACAAGAGTGAGACTCTGTCTCCAAAAAAAAAAAAAAAAAAGTGACTCCAATTTTGGTGACATTGGATTAAGATAAAATGTTTAGGAATAAGTTTAATAAAGGATGTTCAAAACCAACAAGTAGAAAACTGTAAAGCACCACTGAAACCAGAAGTAGACTTCAATAAATAGAAAGGCATCCTCTTTTCTTGGTGAGAACATCTCAATATAATAAAGATGTCAATCTCACCTTGTAGTTTACAAAATTTTGCAATCTCATTAAAAATTCTTACCGGGCGCAGTGGCTCACGCCTGTAATCCCAGCACTTTGGGAGGCTGAGGCAGATGGATTACCTGAGATCGGGAATTCAAGACCAACCTGACCAACATGGAGAAACCCCCGTCTCTACTAAAAATACAAAATTAGCCTGGCATGGTGGCACATGCCTGTAATCCCAGCTACTCGGGAGGCTGAGGCAGGAGAATCGCTTGAACCTGGGAGGCGGAGGTTGCGGTGAGCTGAGATCACGCCATTGCACTCCAGCCTGGGCAAAAAGAGCGAAACTCCGTCTAAAAAAAAAAAAAAAAAAAATTTAATGAGTTTGTTCATTGACATGGACTGTAAGTTAATCCTAAAATCCATATGGAAAATTAAAGAATTCCAACAAAATTGCTGCACAGGAAGTGCTTTAGAGGGACTAGCCCTTCCAGATTTGAAAACTTTACAAAGCCTCTATAATTTAAGCAACATCATAGCACTGGCACATAAATAGGTCAAAGTAACAAGAGCAGAATGCATTAAAAAATGCCTATCGAAAGGTGGAATATCACATGACTGTGGCAAATACTCTTTTAATAAATGGGACGTTGACTAGCCATTTGGAAAATAATAAAATTCCATTCCTCCCGTCATACACGAGAATTTATAATGGGTCAGAGATTTCAATGTGAAAAAAATATATTTTTAACCTGGTATACGGAGAGGCTTTCTAATTCTAAATCCAGAGCCAATAAAAGATTAATAAATAATGTCTACAAATACCAAATAGCGTTTGCATGGACAAAGTGTACCATAACATCAAAAGACAAATGACTACAAAAAATCCTTATCAACATGTAAATCACCATACTTCACCGATAAAGGGTTAATCCTGAGGCCGGACGCGGTGGCTCACACCTGTAATCCCAGCACTTTGGGAGGCTGAGGAGGGCGGACCACCTGAGGTCAAGAGTTCGAGACTTGCCTGACAAACATGGTGAAACCCTGTCTCTACTAAAAATACAAAAATTAGCCAGGCGTGATTGTCCCCGTCTATAATCCCAGCTACTTGGGAGTCTGAGACAGGAGAATTGCTTGAACCAGGGAGGCAGAGGTTGCAGTGAGCTCAGGTCATGCCATTGCACTCCAGCCTGGGCAACAAGAGTGAAACTCCGTCTCCAAAAGAAAAAGAAAAAAAAAAAGGAGGGGTTAATCCTTACTTTGTAGATGTTTTAAAAATTGAGGGGGAAAAGTTTAGAAATCCTATAGAAAACTGGGCAAAAGACATGCACAGACTCTTTACCAAAAGATGTATAAATATATGAAAAGACGTTCAACTTCGCCCATGGTAAGAGAAACGTAAATTACAACTACACTGAGATACCATTTCTCACCCATCAGATTGTCAAAAATTTAAAAACTTAACAGTACTCTCTATGGCTGAGACTGGAGAAACAGGCATTTTCATACATTGTTGGTGGGAATGCAAAATGTTTTAAGTTCTATAGACTTAAATTTGGCAGTATTTAATTATATATACACATACCTGTTGACACAGCAAGCAAGTGCACTTCTAAGAATTTATCCCTTGAGAGTCACCTCTAGGCTGCATGTGGTGGCTCACGTCTGTAATCCTAGCACTTTGGCAGGCCTGGATGGGCAGTTTGCCTGAGCTCAGGAGTTCGAGACCAGCCTGGGCAACATAGTGAAACCCTGTCTCTACTAAAATACAAAAAATCAGCCAGATGTGGTGGTGGTCGCCTGTAATCCCAGCTACTCAAGAGGCTGAGGCACGAGAATTGCTTGAACCTGGGAGGCGGAGGTTGCAGTGAGCTGAGATCATGCCACTGCATTACAGCCTGGGCAACAAAGGGAAATTCTGTCTCAAAAGAAAAAAAAAGAGTCCAGGCGTGGTGGCTCACGCCTGTAATCCCAACACGTTGGGAGGCCAGGGTGAGGTCGGCAGTTCAAGACCAGCCTGACCAATATGGAGAAACCCCATCCCTACTAAAAATACAAAATTAATCAGGCATGGTGTCACATACCTGTAATCCCAGCTACTAAGGATGCTGAGATCCTGAACCTAGGAGGCGGAGGTTGCGGTGAGCCAAGATCACACCATTGCACTCCAGCCTGGGCAACAAGAGCGAAACTCCATCTCAAGAAGGAAAAAAAAGTCACCTTCAGTGATATGAATGTACAGGTGCACACGATTACTTATCAGCATTATTTATAGTTGCAAAATATTGGAAGTTGCGTGGACATTCAAGCATAGGAAAGGATTAAATAATACGTGATGGAGTCAAATGTAATTGTGAAAAGAATGAAGAAGATACCAGCAAACTGTTACGGAGTGATTTTTAGAAATGTTAACTGAAAAGAGCAAAGTGGAAAAAGCATATAGAGTTTGTTACCTCTTGTATAAGAAAGAAGGGAAAATAATGCATGCAGTGTTTGACTAGACCCCCTCAGTCTTGGTTGGGCAGGGTTTGTTATATGTGAATTAGAATTACAAACAAATCCAAACTCTAGTAGGTTTGTGTTT